TTTTTAAAATTTAATTTCTGTTGTTAATTTATTATCGCTGCATGGCACTCCCACATAACATCTCTCCTGCGTGAGCTTCACTGGCTCCCAGTGGTCTTCCGGGTGCGCTTCAAGATGTTGGTTATCACCTTTAAAGCGCTCCATGGCATAGGACCTGGATATCTTCGAGACCGCCTGCTGCTACCAATGGCCTCCCACCGACCTGTGCGCTCCCACAGAGAGGGCCTCCTCAGGGTGTCATCGGCCAAGCAATGTAGACTGGTGGCCCCCCAGGGGGAGGGCCTTTTCTGTAGGGGCACCTGCCCTCTGGAATCAACTGCCCCCAGAGATACGAAGAATTCAAGACCTCGGTACCTTCCGCCGTGCCCTGAAGACCTATCTTTTTCAGCAAGCCCGGCTGGTTTAACACATTTTTAAATGTTTTTAACAGGTTTGTTATTGTTCTTTTAATTTTGGGGCCAAACGCATATATATCTTTTTAACTGTATTTTAATGTTTGTATCTTTTGTATGTTTTTTACTTTGGCTGTGCACCACCCTGAGTCCTTCGGGAGAAGGGCAGTATATAAATTTGATAATAAATAAATAAATAAATAAATAAATAAATAAATAAATAAATAAATAAATCATTTGTTGCCATACTCCACATTTCATTATACCACTAATTTCTTTGAATATCCCAATTTCGTCCCCAATATTTAGCCATCGCTGATCTAGCTGCCATTATCAAATTTACAATCAATTCCATTTTTGTTTCATTTATATCCCGTTTTTCCACCAGCAACAGTAATGCAATTTAACATGTCTAAATTTACATTCGAAAGTGCTCTAATTTCTCTAAACACCGTGTCCCATATTTTTTGTGCACTATCACAATCCCACCACATATGCTTATATGTTCCAACCTCTTTCTTGCATCTCCAACAAATATTTGTATATTTACCATCTATTTGATTTAATTTACGTGGTGTTAGGTACCATCTCCATATCACTTTATACCCATTTTCCTTAACTCTTTCCTTAATTCTGGCTGTTCACCGCCCCGAGTCCTTCGGGAGAGGGGGCGGTATAAAAATTTAATAAATAAATAAATAAATAAAAATAAATAAATAAAAACCCTAACTGAGATATTCTTATATACTCTTCTATTCCAAATATTTTTCCAATCATAATCATTTATTTCTCCTAAATTTTAAAACTTTTGCCTGCTCTTCTAATTCTATATATTTTCCCAATTTTTCCTTTATCTATATATTCTTCATTCACCTCACATTCGTTTATAATCATTTCAAATTTTGTTAACTGTCTGTCTTTCTCCTCGAATCTTTCTTCCACTTTTATCCATTTCTCTAATTGTATTAAATTCAACCAATTTAATTTAATATCTGCTGAAACGTTCTTTAGAAAGAACATGAAAGAAAGAAAGAGAGAGTTGCTAACTTATCAACAGTAGTGATTCACTTAAAAACTGTGACAAGGAAGTTTGTAAAATGGGACAAAACTCATTTAACAAATGTTTCACTTAACAACAGAAATGTTGGGCTCAATTGTGGCCGTACGTCGAGGAGTGTCTGTATGGCACATGATTTTCACACCATGTAAGAGTTCTTAGTAGGACTATATTATCCTGATATCTAGAAAAATCACAGGCCAATAAGGTAAGGTTCCTCTTCTAGATAACCGTGAACATCAGAAGAATTAAACTGATAGCTTTACACACAGTACATTGTTTTGCACTTTTGGAAGCTGGTATCTTTGCTAGGTTTTAGGATGAAGTTCTAAGAAAAAGAAACCTGAAAACTCTGGTTCTTGATTTTTTAGAGTTATTTCAACTTCAGTTCTCTTAGGCCAACAGCAAGGCTGTCAAACTCAATTTCATTGAAGGCCACCTTAGGGTTGTGCTTGACCGTGCGTGTGTGGGGTGTGTGTGTGTGTGTGTGGCCAGTGTGGGCATGGCCAGCTCAACATCACTCATGTTGGGCATGCCTGTGGTGGCCCGAGTGCTCTGCCAGCGAAAATGGAGCTCCTGAGCTCCGTTTTTTCTGGCAGAGGCACTGCGAGCTGGTCCTTCACTGTTCGAAGGGCAGCCCCACAGGCCAGATCTAAGCATCCCGTGGGCCGGATCCAGCCCACGGGCCTTGAGTTTGACACCCTTGGCCTAGAGCCACAATGGTGAACCTATGGCACATGTGCCACAGGTTGCATGCAGAGCCATATCTGTGGGCACACGAGTGTTACTCTAGCTCAGGGCCCACCGGAAGTTGGGAAATAGGCTGTTTCCAGCCTCCGTAGGGCCTTCCAGGGGGTGGGGGTAGGGAAGGCCATTTTCGCTCTTCCCAGGCTCCTAGAAAGCCTCTGGAGCCGGAGGAGAGTGAAAAACAGGCCTTCCGGTCTCACCAGAAGTTGGGAAATGGGCTATTTCCTGCCTCGGGAGGGCCTCTGGGGGGGGGTGAGGAAGGCTGTTTTCACCCTCCCCAGGGTCCAAGAAAGCCTCTGGAGCCTGGGGAGGGTGAAAAATGGGCCTACCTGGCCCACCATGCCATTGCATACCAAAAGCAGGGGGAGCAGGGGGGTCGCACATGCATGCACGGGGGTGTGATGCATTGAATTATGGGTGTGGGCACACGCACATGTGACCCCTGCGCTCCCCCCGGTTTTGGCATGCGACGGCAAAAAGGTTAGCCATCACTGGCCTAGAGCCTTTCATCTACTATGCAAAGGATTTATTTATTTATTATATTTCTATACCGCCTTTCTCCTGTAGGACTCAAGGCGGTGTACAGTAAAGAAAAATATAGATACACAAACATCATAATGAAACAGACTGAGCCTGGTACCCCAGCCCTGAAATACTGGCACCACATTATACTATTCACCCTGTGCCCTTTGTGAATCCATTTATCTGCCTGCTTGTAAGCTGCCTGGGACTCACTTAACCAACCATGATCCTTGCTTAACAACACAATAGCAAATGCTGGGATCGTGGTCATGAAGTGATGCAGTCCACATGAAGTTACACTTTACGACTATCTTGTTTACCGATGATATTCTGGTAGTTAACTGAGGGCTACCTGTAAACAAACTTGCAAGCAATCTCAAGTTCAATGACAAAAACACTAAAGTTTCTGGATCAGAAATTATGTGTTTGAAAGTTACAGATTGTTTAGATTTGTCCGACAAGTTGAGCAATTTCAAATTCTCGCAGTTCTCTTTCTATCATATACTATTTGTTCTGCCTCGGCTCCCAAACATGACAAGCATGCTGTTTTTAACTAAATGTTCCCTTTATTAGGAATCCCAGAAACCCCGGCAAAGAGCCTCTCTCTCTCTCACAGCAGGCTAACACAGTTTCGAAGCGCCTGTGGAAAGTGACGCTCGCTCATTTTCCCCATGAAATGGCCCCAACACACCAGGAATCTCTCTCTCCCCATATTCGTAAAGGAAGTCCTGGAAGGTGTGCTCACTCGTTTCCAGCATCAGACACACACATACACACACATGCTCAGAAGGCAAGCTGACTCTCAGCACTGCAGATTCCACAAAAGAAAGACAGGATTCACAAGTTCGGACTATCAGTGGCTGACCAACAGGGAGACAAATAGTTGTCTGCCACACCTATTCATCTCCGTCCCCTGCCTTTTATCGCCAGAATTAAGGTGGGGCTTAGCTAGCAGCTGTGGCTCTTCCGTCCCAATGACTGGCCCATAGCATCCGGCTGCTCTCCTCTCCTCTGCCTTCTGCATCAGGCACAGGACCCAGCTGTTCCTCCTCTTCCTCATCAGCCACTCTGGACCTGGGGGCTGTTGCCACTCCATCTGGGAGCTGATGGACTGCCCAGGCTCCACCCCTGTATCTATTTCTGACAGCTCCATTCCCTCTTCCCCCTCGGAGCTCTCTGATTGCCTTGATTCTGGCCCCGACTCCCACTCTGCCACCTTTTCTGATTCAGCTTCCGGAGAGGCTGCCAGCTGATAACCACAACACTATTCATCCTTTTAAAGAAGTTTACACTGATTCAGCCACTAATCATCCGCATGAAAAACACGTATTCATCTAATGGGTTTTGTTTCAGTATTTCAAATATTTGCGCAGTCTCCCACAGAAGAAGTGCCTGCCTTTCTTGAGCTGCAATCAATCTGAGCTATATTTTTTTAAAAGCATTTTATTTATTTATTTATTTATTGGTTCAATTTATATGCCGCCCTTCTCCGGAGACTCAGGGCGGCTTACAATGCGTTAATCAATAGCCTTCATACTTTTGTATATACCTGCTTAGTAGGGCTTTCAGCCCCCCCACCCCAAGCGGTGTTCTTTTTTATACAAAGTCAGTTTATTGCCCCCACAATCGGGGTCCCCTTTTTACCTACCTTGAAAGGATGGAAGGCTGAGTCAACCTTGAGCCTGGTGAGAATTGAACTCACAGTAATTGCAGGCAGCTGGCAGCTGAGTGCTACTTAACAGCACTTTAGTCCGCTGCGCCACCAAGGCTTATTTGCTTGATAAAGCCAAGGCAAAAATGGAAATTGATTTCATGTGATGTGTATAATTATGAAAAATAAATATGATTAATGAAGTTACTCTCCAGTTTATATTTCATAATTTCTCTCCACTATCACATTACAAATTACATTTCGGAACAGCTTTTTGAAATCCCTGAAATCCACAACCAAGCTTATCAATAATTTGCACATCTCTAGTTTAGAAGGGGAGTGGGGGGAAGCTTTCACAGCCCTTTTTATTCCTAAGGTAACTTTTTCACTAGAAATTAATCACCCCCTTTGCATATTTTCACTAGAAATTAATCATTCCAGTTGCATATTAGTATTGTAGAAAAACAGCCTTCTAGAACCATGATGCTGAAGCTTCAAATATTTGGCAGGTATTTCCAAATGCATTGATATAATAAACTTTTAATAACTTAGATATTAAGTTATCCTCTAAACCAGTCACTTAAATCAATACCTTAACATCTTTTCTGAGACATCTATCAATTCTGCCTACCAAAGATCCGCTCCAGATGGGGGAAGCAATGCGAACGCTCCATCCAACAAACCCTGGTTTATAAGAAAAAACAGGAAAAAAGGCAATAGTTCCTGAAATGAGGCTTAGGATTCCAAAGGAAATGAGCATTTTTCCAGTAACTAAAAACAATTTCCTTGTGTTCATTTTGAACCTCTCTTCTTTCCTTCTGTAAATTGCACAAGATTTACAGCAATAGGTTGATGCATACCATTGTACACCAAAGCGTCTTGGAGACTGTTGCTATGGGTGTTCTCTTATTGTTTGCTTGCTCAGGTGGATCACAACTCATGTTATAATTGAAATACAAGGCACCGATGTAGAATTAGGAACAATTACAGGTAGTCTTTGACAATCGAGACCACAATTTCGGTTGCAAACCGTGATGGCTATAAAGCAGATCACCACATGACTGGGCCTTAATTTACGTCCTTTTTACAGCAGTCGTTAAGCAAAAATGGAGGTTATTAAGCAAAGAAAGCTATCACTAAGTCTGTTTGGTCTTAAGTGAACCCAAACTAGTTTCCAGCAACCAAAAATAAAATATATAAAATAAAATAAAATAAAATAATAATATAAAATATAAAATAAAATAGAGCCTTGGTAGTACAGTGGTTTAAGGCACCCTGTTATTAAGCTGGTTATTAAGACCAGCTGCCTGCAATTACTGAAGGGTTCGAATCTCGCCAAGGCTCAAGGTTGACTCAGCCTTCCATCCTTTCTAAGGTAGGTAAAATGAGGACCCGGTTTGTGGGGGCAATAAGCTGACTTTGTATAAAATATACAAAAGGATGAAGGCTATTGCTGAGCACATTGTAAGCCGCCCTGAGTCTCTGGAGAAGGGCGGCATATAAATCAAATTTAAAAAAAAAAATCAATGAAACAATAAAATAAAGTTGTAAAGTAAATAATAAAATAAAATATAAAATAAAATAAAATAAATAAAATAATAAAATAAAATAATAATGAAATGAAATGAAATGAAATGGCTGGTCAAACCAGGGGTGAAATCCAGCAGGTTCTGACAGGTTCTGGAGAACCAGTAGCGGAAATTTTGAGTAGTTTGGAGAACCTACAAATACCATCTCTGGTTGGCCCCAAAGTGGGGAGGGAATGGGGATTTTGTCATATCCTTCTCCTGGAGTGGGGCGGGAATGGGGATTTTGCAGTATCCTTCCCCTGCCACTCCCACCAAGTCACACCCACAAAACCAGTAGTAAAAAAATTTGGATTTCACCAATGGGTCAAACAGTTCCATGATGAGTATCCCCAGAAACCTAAAGGGCCTATGGGGGGGGGAGGAGGTTTGCTTGCTATGGATGTATTACTTGGGACCTTGACCATAAATGCAGGTTGGTTGCTGAGCGGCCAAAATGCAGTCACATAATCACAGGGTGAGGCAAACATCAAATTTAGGTCATAAGTCCCTTTTTTAAGGATATGTCATAACTTCAACTTGTCACTAAGTGACTGGTCATAATTTGAAGACTACCTGTAGCATATGCAAGAAACATTGTCGCTTATTATCTCCCTGGTATATAGCTCTAGTCTTCAGGAGGAAATATTCAGGATCATTCAGGATAACATCCCCCATTTTGTTGTCTTCTTAAGTGTGTTAGGGTTTCCAGAATTCCAAGTTAGTATGGCTGAAATTCAATGCTATACTCAAAGAGAGTAGGCTGGTGTAGAGCAGAGGTGGTAGGAATTCTGGGAGTTGAAATCCACAAGTCATAAAAGAGCCATCATTTTTCACCTTTCGTGTAGAGGCTAGAAAGAGCGGCCTTGAAGGACAGGAGGAAGACCTGCTAAAAAGCAATGGTAGTCAGAGAACTGGGGCTTGAACCTGGGCCAAGAAACTAACCTGAGAAAACATCTTTAACAAAGCCCCTCCCTAGTTCACACAAAGATAATTTGAGAGAGGGAGGACGCACATCCAGACTTGTAAGATCCTGTTACTATAGCTGTATACTAGTTCTGACCTAGTTGCATTGGTTTCTCAACCTAGTCTACATTGTAGGGCTGACAATTGGTTCCTTTATGCATCCTTCTGTTTGCGTTCTTTCAGACCTGTCTGTCTATCTCCCTGCCTGTCTGTCAGTATATCTATCATCTCTCCCTCCCTCTCTCTCTCGTTTTCTCTCTCTCTCTCTCTCTCTCCCCATCTATCTATCTATCTATCTCAATCATCTACCCATCCATCCATCCATCCATCCATCCATCCATCTATCTCGATCATCTACCCATCCATCCATCCATCCATCTATCTATCTATCTCCCCCCCACTCTCTTTCTCATCTATTCATTTTATTGGCCACCCATCTTACCACAGGGTACTTCTGGGTGGCTTGCAGTCATAAAAATGTATCTAGATGTATAAATTAAAAATATAAATAAATTAAAACCAACCAACTTTAAAATCTAATGACACATGGAGAGGGAGGGGCGGAGTGGATGGAGATGGGGTTACTTGATCAACCACTTCGACTGTGCTGTTACCCTGTTGGGGCCCCAGACTAATTGGCAAAATCAAGTCTTCAGGTCCTTACAAAAGGATAGGAGGGTTGGGACCAACCCCATATTGGGGGGCAAGATATTAAAGTGAACCGCTCTAAACTCAATTGCAGAAAATATGACTTCAGTAACAGAGTGGTCAATGCCTGGAATGCACTATCTGACTCTGTGGTCTCATCCCCAAGCCCCCAAAACTTTAACTGTAGACTGTCTACTGTTGACCTCACTACATTTCTTAGAGTCTGGAGAGGTGTGCATAAGAGCACCAGGGTGCCTACCATCCCTGTCCTTATCTTCCCTTTATTTGTATTCATTTCATGTTGTAGGAGGCAGGAGTAACAGCACAGAAAGCTGTCCTCCTGGATCTAGCCAGCCAGAATAATCAGACTGATGGAACCTGCAGCATGCCTCCTCTATCAGCAAGAGTGGGACCGGCCAATCCCAGTGGGGTGAGACAGCCCCTCAAATAGACTGGACCCATGCCATGAAGGGCTTTAATGTTGCTGAGCCAAAGGACATATTTCCTTATTGTTTCTTTATACTTCACAGAACTATTCCATGGCTGCTTCCTTTTCAGGAGAAAGATTATAGGGCTGTTCCAAGCAATTTCAATCTTAGGACAAGCACCACCTACACATAAAGAAGTCAACTCACCAGTTTATTCTTATTGGATTCCCATCTCCCTGTTACTGCAGGGTAATAGCATGCAATTGGGGTGCAGGATAAGCACACAGAGTTTTCAAAGAGAGAAGGGTGTCTGAGAAATTCAGGAGGAATAACACTTCTTGGTTTCTGTTGCCTAATGTGATCTGATCACTCTGCTTAATGCTAAAGCCAGCAGCGGAAGACTCCATCCAATGGGAATACAGCCACTGGCATCTCAGGAATGTGGAAGAAACACACCAGACATGTGGCAGGAAAACAAATGAAAACCTCTCCGTGTGAACTGCACAGTTTACCGTCATGGCTGGTAATACAACAACGGACCAGGAATAGCGTGCTTCTACCTTGACATTATTGAGCTAGAGACAAAGGAAAGAATTCAGTACATATCCAGTAACAAAGATGGGAGAAAGGTGGCTTTTCAGAAGCTATTTAATTATCATTCCCAGCATCCCTCGCTCCTGGCTATTGCGGTGAAGAGTTTCGTAGCTCAGCAACATCTGGAGATCTGTAACCTCTGCATCCACATGTTAGAATCTCTCCTGGGCTTTCCTCTGTTTTGCTATCCCAGCAGATGTTTTGCAAAAGTTAAGCCATTTGTTTTTAGTGCAACAGTTTAGCACAAATTATTTATTAGCAGGGTCAAAGCAGTTCCTCGCATAGCTGGCTGCCATTAAGAATTTAATCATTCCAATGGTATTCCAATAGCCCACGGATTAAACAAATCCTGAGAAGTCAGGGAGAAAATATTAATGCAAAGAAAGATTGGGATGTTTGGACCATATGTTCAATCTTAAATTATAAACAATGAAGATTCCTGGTATGAAGCAAGACAGTTCTCTTTAAGTGCCCTGATTTATTGTTTAAACAGCTCTTTTGCCCAATTCCCCAGGAGAATGAACCACTTCCTTGTGTACACAGAGTTATTGACCTTCTGGCTGAGTCAGAGTCATTGTTTTGGGTTATGTTCAGTGGAGCTCAAATGAAAACCCAACTTCCTGTGTGTCCAAAAAAATCCAAAAAAAAAACACAAAACTTTGACAACTGCAAAGAAGGAGGAACTAAGCATAGCCCTGGTTAGCAATCACAGTCCCCCTTCAGGATTAAATATAAAGGGTTTATCAAGGGGGGGGGGTCCTCAGGGGGGATTCTGCCTGTTTTGGATTAAGATTTGCTATCATCTGTTTTCCTCATCTGAGGGACATTTTTATCTTGGTCATTGCAACCAGAAATGAGCTGGGGATTAGAGAAATTAGATTGCTCAATGGAGGGGACTGCATCATCGCTGTGAATGCTAATTTCTAAGAATAACATCTGCATATGCTAATCTGTGACACTATAATAATCAGGGGTGTGGCCTGTGGGCCAGATGCATCACACGCTGGCCACGCCCACCCCCAGTCACATAATGACAACATGACATCGCGAATTTGACACCCGTGCACTATATGGAAGCAAAAGGTGAACTTTAAAGAAGCAGGAGAGAAAGAGTGCTGACACTTTTAAACTTTGATAGTGGGGAAGATTCCTGAGATACCTTGGGAACTGGGAATGTCTAGCTTAATGAAAAAAGGCCTAGGGGTGACATGATAGCAGTGTTCCAATATCTAAATGGCTGCCACAGAAAAGAGGGAGTCACCCTATTCTCCAAAGCACCTGAGGGCAGGACAAGAAGCAATGGATGGAAACTAATCAAGGAGAGAAGCAACCTAGAACTAAGGAGAAATTTCCTGACAGTGAAAACAATTAATCAATGGAACGACTTGCCTGCAGAGGTTGTGGATACCAACTCTGGAGATTTTTAAGAAAAGATTGGACAACCATTTTTTGGAAATGATATAAAATCTCCTACTTGAATAGGAGTTGGATCAGAAGACCTCCAAGGTCTCTTCTAACTTGTTATTCTATTATAAATGGATCATCAAACAAATCAACCCAGAATTATCACTGGAGGCATAAATAACCGGCCTCAAATTATTCTATTTTGGACAAATTTTGCAAAGACCTG